CCCGTTACAATATAGTTTTAAACTTAGATTCTTAGATTTATGGAGTTTCCTTGATTTAGAGTTTTCTTTTTAAATGTATATGTATTTAGGGAGTGCCATCTGTCAGTTCTGGTAGGTTTCCTTTGTTTTAATAGCTTAAACATAGTTTTCTGACTATATATACTACAAGCGACTAATCAGGGATATTGTTTTTACTGATTACTAATTAGGTATTGATGACTCTAGGTGAAATACTTCTGCATTCAAGTTGTACAATCTGAGGATCAGGTACTTGGATACTGGTATTTGCCTTTCTAGTCTAAATGTTTTTCATCTGACTTTTAGCATCACTCCTCGATTGCTCCTAAGATAAATTCATTCAACAGGTAACAAGTCTTATCATAAAAGTAGTACTTATTATTGCTTCCTTCTCCCTCAATATAGTGACAATCTCATAGTTGTCTCCTGTTGCTTAAGAAAATACTCTTATTTTCTTAAGTCCTCTAACAGCAATACAGTCTACTATACTCTTCATAGATTTCCTGTAACAGTGATATATGTGATATGAATATAAAGTAGTATTCATAAAAATGTATATTGGAAAATAACTTATATGATTCAATCAAATTTTATTTAAACTCATACTACCAACACTGGCATATAACAAGCTCTTACCAGCACATGATTAACGCCAACTGGAACTACTACTAACTATGTACTAACTAAACCTCTGGTCCCATATCTCAAATATGCCCGCGCCATACCCAAACACGAACACTAAATACAAAACTATTAATAGTAAAGAAAGCCCTCCTTAAACTACAGTCATAGACCCTCTGGTATGAGCCCAATCAAGTCAAGAAGACAAAGCTACAAGAGCTCCACTTGTAGTTGAGGCTAAGCAGAGTACCAGTCCTCTAGGTTTCTCATACAAAAGCAATATAAAAACACTATCTTATGGTCTTAATACTATCTTGTAAACCCTCCTCCACTATAGATACCCTCCTAGTCAAGGCCGCTCAATGATTTCACTAACAGTCCAAACTGTTTAACAACTACCCAACAACCTATAACAAAGGAAACCCAGGAGTAGCAACAAACCATGAAGGCTAGTGAGGCCTATTCCACACCCTTGATACTCTCCTTCCTTTACCACACCTGTAGCCCAGACAAAGAAACTAAACAAACTCTATAACACCGAACACAAATGTCCAGCCAAACTCAGTCAACAGTTGTATTCCACTATCTGGACAGGTAGTCATTAGCACAGTTCCTTCACAGCACTCAGCAGGCTCCAGCAGCCAGAAACACTTAATTAGAGGTCACCCAACCTGACACACCCCCAACCAGTCCTCACAGGAGTCTCTCTATCAGTCCAGCCCCAAGCAAGCCACCAGGCCAAACGCTATAGTACCCATCCAGCCCACACAGTCCTACAGGCAGCAAGCCAGCCATAAGTCACAGGATAGTGTATAACTAGCCATAGCAGGTAACTGGTGTCCAGCGACGCTACCGTATTCCCTACCTCCGATACCCAGAAACTAGAGAGGGCCTAGCAGCTGAAGCTATGACCCACATTGACGGCAGCTACTACCAGCCAGCAAAGAGCTAATGAAAATATGGGGTAAGAAAAATCCAAGCTGGCACTCAAAAGAGGGTGGGTACATAGATAGGAAATAAGACAAACTGAAGGTAGACCCCACTTATAATAGACGTGACTGCCAACTACCATCCATAACTACACCGAACCCTACATGATAAAGTGTGGCCCAGCAACCAATCACCCCACACCACCCATAGTAAATCCATAGACCCACACTGGGGGGAGTAAAAATGTTCAATCTCAAAGCGATTTCCATCGAAGTGAAGGGATAGCACCTGACTGAACTATCGTAAATACCACCTGTACTGAAATCAGGAAAATAGTGATAAAAAACATTATAGAATTCCAACTGTATAAATATGTAGTAACGATAAAGGTGAGGCCAGCGAGGCTCCATCCTTGTGAAGGTATATGATCTGTACGACATGTTGAAGACACAAGACAGACATCAAGTAACAGCATAGGCATTTTGCATCGCAAGAGACTAAGGACTCTATTAAAACTCAAGAAGAAATATGATCTGGCCTCAAGAACAACATGGATAATCCCTTCAAATACAACTAGACTCCTCCTAATTGAACATAAAACCTGCAAGTAGAAAGTAGACAGAAAGCCGAAAATATTTTATGAAGAGGTGCCCGTAAGTGACCATGTTGAATAGCTCAAGGCGTCGGTATCATGAGATTCCTACCAACAACAAGAGGCGTGAACAGGACTACCCAATCTAAGACCACACAACAATCCCTAACACTAGGAAACTGAGTGAACTCAGATATCTGCCTAGTATTGAAAACTATCCTGAGTGTTAAAGCAAGCCAAAAGCCAAAGGAAGAAGGCAGGAAAGAACTTAGATGGTTACAAAGAGATCTATCTCAAAGGCTGAACCTATTGCCTTATATAGACCTTCTTACAACTCGCTTACAAATCTAACTATCAGATAGAGTGTAACTGTGCCCTATATGACTACATGATTTTTTATCCTCTTAACCTGTTTCCAGGTCATGTACATAGCCCCTATGACTCCTAAATAGGTCATGTGTGCAAAATCCAAGTGTCTTACAAGCCTTATCCCTATCAAATAACAATTCCCATATAACCTAACTATCATGACTTAAAATCTAAGTCATGTGTATGAACAATAATTGTAATATCATATGACTCAAATGAGTCATTAATCAAAACCATATCCCACATGACTCCTAAACAGGTCATGTGTAGGAACATTAATTATAACATATAAAATTCTTTACAAACTATGCCAAGTTTGTAATACTGGCTGTTAGGGCGTAGACAGGAGTAGAGCTTTTGGGTTTATATACTATATACTGACATAACTCATATACTACCTTATCTAGTCTTAGTATATATTAAATAAACGACAATCTTCTTCTTCTATAATTTAAAAATATACTATGATTCAGATTAGGCATTAAAAATATAAGCCGACTTAATGGCTTTTCTATTATACTAACAATTTTAAGATTATACTTTGTAAATATATTATAACATAGAAATATACATTTTTTACAGGTAGATTAGAGTTTTCAAAAATTTGATATATTATATAAAAAAAGCAATTTTTTTAGTCCAAGAATGGTAAGGACTACAGCTCCATATTTGTAGACCAATAATCTAATTACATGGAGAGTTTTCTTGGCTAAGAGATAGATAATATTGGTAATAATTCACAACATACACAATTGATCTTCTAATATTCTAACTTTATAGTATGGCAGGAGAAATCCTGTAACCTTTGGTGGCCTCTCTCTCCTGAAAATACCTTTTTCAATTGCCGCCAGTGCTAATTCAGTTACCTGTTCACGACTCTGCCTACCGTGGTTCCTACTATATGGAGTGTTTTGTGGGGATTATTTGGCGGTCGATGGTGCTTCTCACTGGCCGAAAACCACGTACCGGTACTGTACTCGTCCTTATGCCATGGGTGAGGTAGTGAGTGAGTGGGTTGAATGCTGTCTAACCTACTGTATTATATCCCCTTTTAAAAAATTACCCACTCGCATTACGGTTTTAGCTCAACGCGAGGATAATAATAATAAGACTATTGCATGGCAGATCTGGCCGCACAATAAGAGTATGATGCCGTATTTCCTGCGCTTCTAGGGCATTGCAGAGCAGGATAGCGGTGTTCTACCGATTATTTTCGGCGCAGCACGAATCGGCTTATCACAAGGATGTTTTCAACTGAGACAGCTAACTCTCTCCTCGATTGGTGAATGCGGCACCGGTAGGCTACGATTCAGTCGGGTTTGGTACGATGAACAAGGCTCAAGGTTTCCCCTTCCTCTCTCTCGACCCGTGATTGGCTCGCAAGCGCTTGCACTCGCTCCATCATCCTTTCCATGAATTGCGAGCAAGCGAGAGCATCAGATCAGATCATAGTGATCCGTCCCCCTCCTTTATTTACTACTGTATTTATCTTTTCTCTTTTTCACCTTTCCCTACTTCGCTCTCCCCTGGCTTCTTAGCACTGTACCTTTTTGTTTCTTTGGGTAGATTTTTGTAGTTTGGTACAGTACTTGTAGTGCAAGTCGTAATTATCTGCCCATCTGGCCAGTAGCTGTTGTCGAGGACAAAGCGCAGAGTAAGAGTGAGACTCGACAGCCGCAGGCGCCCTTAGCACACTGTGCATTCTTTCGCCTTTGTTCTCACACACCAGGCAACTTTCAGAGACAAAAGAGAGAGAAAGGGAGACAAGAGGAAGGCAGGTTTTCCTAGTGTCACTGAACGAGGGAACGTGAGAGTGTGGAGAGGAGTGAAGAGAGTGAGTGAGAACGAAACGAGGACGAGAAAGAGAATCATTGTCCGAGCGCCCTCCCCCTCTATTTCTTTCCCCTCCCATGCCTCATCTGCCGGCCAGCTGCGCTGCTCATCGGTCTCGATAACCCACATACAATTTCAGCATAACATAGAGTACTGTACAGTACATGCATCCAAAATTTCCTGCACTGTACACAAAAGTTACCGTTATTCGATAATCGTCTCTCTACCTTTATTCCTTTCTTTTCCTTTCCCCATTTATATATATCTCGCGGACCCTCCAGTCTTGCTCATTTGCCCAGCCTGCATCGGAAAATTATTATTTTTTCTTCAAGAAAAGGAGTTTTGGCTTCTATCGTCATTTCTGAACGATAGGCGGACGAAAGCATTTTGGAACCCAAACACCTAGGTTGAGCTACAACACAATATCAATACTGGAAAAGAGACGGACAAGGAGATCATCAGGTGGTGAGTTTAGAAAGCTTAGGAGAGGGTGTAAAGGTCGGGTCCTTCGATATAAGAGCAAAGCTCTACTTTTTTTCGCAGTCCCCGCACCCTTCCCCAATCACCCTTGGCTAGTCTTTCCAATTCGATATATATCCAGTTCACCACCCGCGTCCCTTTCGCATCCGTCCACCCACACACCCACACTCACATTACCTTCTTTCCATCCACGCATCCTTCCATCTGCTGTGCTGAGAGCGAAGAGCAGCAGCAACTGGCAGAAGGATTTGTGGGTTTAACTCAGACACCCAAGCCGCTACAACACCCCTCCCCCTCTCTCATTCATCCCTCCCCCCCCCCTAATCGGTGGTCGCCCAGGTAACTTAACTGTCCCTGTCCCTCATCTGCTTCCTCTTCCCTTCGCCGGAACACTCGCATTAATCGTGCAGCACCAGTCATTATCATTGTCGTCGGATAGCTGTCAGCCCCGCCATCGCTTGCCTGCCTGCCTGTGTGTGCTTACCTGCCTGCCTCCTGCTTTGGTCTTGCTCTACTGCTGCTTCTCTGCCTTGTTGCTGCTGCTGGTTGCGTTACCCGTTCTCAAGCTACGGTACCTTAGGTTCGCGTAGGCCCGTTCTCACCTCATCTCGACTCGCTTGAATCCCTCAACTCGTTCCTTCAACCGTTTCGCTCGTTCACTCGCTCCCTTCACCGTTTGCCTTCCCTCCCTCCCTCCTTCACTCCTCCGTGTTTACATTTTCTCGGTTTTTCGGCTTCCCGCTTCTCTGAGTTACCATCTGCATTTACTCCCCGCATCACCCTATATCACTTCCTGCAGTCTCCCATCGCGCCTGTCAACTCGTTCACTCATCACTCGATTATCCCCATCCACCTATTTCTCTGCGCGACTCGTTTCGACGTTTTGGTTGAGAGGTCACTTTATACTGATCGCACTCAGTGTCGCTCTGCATAGATCGACATCAGGGACCTGCGCGGCTCCTTGGTTAGTCCTCTCTCCCCTTTCTCTTCCTCCTGGTTTTTTTGGCACCTTCCATCGCGATAGTCCATCTACTAACAATCCATAGAACAATAACCCCATTCCCTGCCCTCAGAGCTACGCGCTCGCTTGTCTGGCACAGGGGAAAGAAAAAAGAACATTGCCGACCGACCATTATTAGAGTTCATCCCCCCCATAATTGCCCTCCTCTTATATATCGTTCTCTCACCGCTCCTTCATTAATTTAAATGTCTCCTACACCTTCACCGTTGCAAAGGACTATGGAAAATTTCAATAATCAGTCCACCATGGCCGCCCTCTACGACAGCCGAACTCGCGAGAGCGAAGTCTCTCCCTGGCACCGCCCTGTGGCGGCGCCGCCTCCCCAGTCCGCTGTTTCCAACTCCACCTCGAACCATGTGAGTTTTTCTCATGAGTCTTTGAGTATCCCTAGACACATTTCATCACCTTCTGAGGTTCCAAACGTCGAGAGTGTGGGAGTGACGAGGCCTCCCCCAGGCTTTGAGGACAAAGCCGCCAAATATTACAACATCAAGATTACGAACTTGCCTCGTGCCGTTTCTGAGCGTGAACTCAATGCCATGCTCTTGTTTGCTGGTGACCTTGCCGGCATACGTGTGAAGCCACCTTCCCCTGGGGGTGTTGAAGGTGACTACAACACCACTGCGGTCGCCCAATTCGGCTCCGAAAAATCTGCGAAGGAGGCCCAGGAACGACTGGATGGAAAACCCTTTTCCCCTGAAGATCGCAAAATGTCGGTTCAATTATTAGGGAGCTCGCATGAATCGTTAATTCAATCCGCCTCTAACTCGCCGTCCAATTCGGATGTGCTGATACCCGGTACCGACTTTCCGCAGTACACTACGAACGGGACTCGCAACCGAGGATCCCCACCAAATGGACAGCTCTATGGCGCTACAAATGGTTCCAGCGGAATTGGTGGGGTCAACAGTGTCAATGGCACCAACGGGATCAACGGAGCTAGCACCTTGAATGGGATCGCTACGACAAACGGGATGGTTCCAACGGGCGAATCATCCTTCGACCCAAGGCCATTTGACCTTCGGGAATCTCCTAGCTTCTTCAACCCGTTGGGTTTCCAGCAACCTCCCCAATCCGGACGCCAGCAGCAGGCCCAGCAACCACAGAGGTTGTTCATGCCTGACGAGTATGATGGAGACGATAGCGGCATTTCGACAAGAGCTCGTGCCTTGACCAGTCCTGTTGTAGCTGCTGGAGCGAGGGGCCTTGGGGGCTTGCCACAACTCATTACTGCAAATAATACTGTTAATTGTTTTCAAAACATGCCGCCTACTTCTACTCTCGTATCTCCCGTTACTGTAGCTTCCCCTAACTTCGGCTGGGCTGGTCGCCATCTCCCTCCTGCAAATCCTGCAGACCAGAATCCACCCTGCAATACTCTGTATGTTGGTAATCTCCCAGCCAATACTACTGAGGATGAGTTGAAGAATCTCTTTTGCCGTCAGCGTGGCTACAAGCGTCTTTGTTTTCGCGCGAAACAGAATGGACCAATGTGTTTTGTTGAATTCGAAGACATTGGGATGGCAACCAAAGCCCTGACTGAGCTTTATGGACGAAACCTATCCACCAGTGTCAAAGGAGGAATTAGACTCAGCTTTTCTAAAAATCCTCTTGGTGTTCGTTCTCACCCTGTGAACGGACTATCAACCCCGGTTACACCCACCAACTCTGGAAGCCAATTCAGTTCACCGGCCAGTCCTTTCACGTTTTCGACGGCTTCTCACAATCCGCCAGGTTTACCAGCGCCTCCTAACCGTCAAATGGCAGCCCACCATCAGAGTAATCATGATCAGCCCAATGGCACCGCGTACTCCCACCATCAAATAGGATACGACCAATCGAACGGAACTACTTATTCTCATCAGCAGATTGGTCACGATCAGCCCAACGGCAATGGCTACCATCATCAAATTGGCCATGAACGATCTAACGGTGTCACCCACCCGCTTCACTCGAACAGCCGTGATGAGTCCAATGGCGTCGTTGGACACTCACATCAATTCGGGGTATCAGGCATTCCTCCGCATCTTATAGGAAAATAAGCAAGATCAGAACAAAAAAAAAACCAACTAAAAAAATAAAAATTTGACCATCTGTTATATGATGAGAAATGACAAACCGGCGCATTGGGTTTTAAAATTCGGTGTTTCTTTTTTAGCACAGGTCGAGGGAATTTATTGATTTGATTCTTAGCCAGTGCGATTCTTCTTCGCGCGCGGGGTGCATCAAAGATTTGGGCATACGAGGTGTTCTTGTTTCTTTTTTTCTTTTTCTTTCGCTTCTCCCCCCCCCCATGTTCCCCCCCACTCTGGTCCGGACTCGTTTTTGAAATCATTGACTTTTTCATATTTTTCCATCGTACCTTTTCGGCTCGGTTTCCCATGGTTCGGCTTCCCATTTTTTTGTATCAGCGTGCCGCTTCATAATATAGCGGAATGTTTTGTGTTTTTTTCCATGTCTTTTTTTTCTTTTTTTCGTTTCATATTGCCCAACTCAGTCTCTTTTTTCATTCTTTTTCATCATGTCCATGGCTATTATGGGATGTCCTTGAGTTTAAGCTAGCTGGTGTTTCTCTTCTTTCCTTTTGCTTTCTTCTTTTTTCCATCCAATCGTATTTTCCCCATTACCAACTACCAAACCTGATTTTTATCAACCTTCATTCCATTTCTTTTTTTCATACCTGGACCAATATTCTTTTCTCTCATCCTGGATTGTATCGGATGGGAAGGGATTATATGTTGAACTGTTTTTCTTCAATTTTTCTTATCACTTAACTTGCTTACAGTCACTTACCCAGCAAAGGTCTTCGTGGAGCGGAGCTTCCCTTGGACGGAGATTACTGTTGCGAAGACTTTTGCCGAGTGGCTGTACTACTTACTTACTACTTCGTACTACTATGGTACTCTCACAATTAACTTTTACTCTTACTACTTTGCTTCTAACCTTCTGGAGCCGGCGGCGGGTTTTCTGTTTTGCTTTGTCCTATGATACTACTACAACTTTGATCTTTCCCCTTTCGAAATCATCCTTCCGCTTACAGAAACCAGTTTACCTTTAGCGTCTCTCTTGTTTGTGATATCACTATCATTTAAAAAGGAGCTGAGTGAAGTGAGGTGCTATGGTTTCTGGGGAGGAAGTAGGGGCTTTTGTATTTAGTCTATGGTATGGTGGTGGCTGTTATAGCGTAGGTTACCAGCAGAGGCAGGGTTGTAGGTAGGTAGTAGTACCGTATTATACGATATACACACACACATTACATGCGCGCTGAATATGCAATTGCACTTTGGCTACTGGAGTTAAGGTCTATTTTTTTATTTTTTTCTCACCCTCCCAGTTTGGTTGGTTCTGATGGGAAGTTTTATCGTGAGAGCGGTACCTGTGCGATATATATCACGATGTTCTAAGCGGTTATCTTAATGCGGACCCACAGCACGGTAGCCATAGTAACACACTAGCAACCGCATTGACCACAACCAACTCCCACAACCGGTAAGTTAACTGCACCATACATACTCTCTTCGTCCCACAAGTAAAACCACCGAACGGATGAGCTGCCGGACCTGTACTCCCCCTCCCCACATCCTCCATCCAACTTTTACCAACCGACCAACCAAAAAGCACGAAGTCACCCACAATTCATTCACACCACAATGCTAGCTAGAACCACCTGCTACTTGTACTCGAGTACTCGTACCCTAACCGTAGATCCCCAACGCAGGGCCAACTTATGATACCATAAAGTCTACCAGAACCCTACCCTACGGTACGGTAACCCTACTCTACGAGTACAGTATCATACAAGGGATCGATCGCCCCCCCCCCTCCTCGATAAAGACCCGATTACCATCTTTTGGTATTTAATGATGTAACCACCTGGGTACGGCTACAGCACTTATCGGTGGTGGTGGGTGGGAGTTTCTCGATTTTTCCAGGTTTGGAAGGAAGGAATGGGAGGGATTGGTTCACTGCTGTGCTCGTTACTGTGCAGTTGCTTCTGCTGCTGGTGTTGGTGGTGGTGGTGGTGCTTGTGGCGGGGTACGGGGATCTGGTAGTCTAATGAATGAATGGGTGGGCTACGGTAAGCCGCTAATGCTGAGTATGATAGCCACCGGTACCGGTAGAGGAGAGGATTGGTTGTGGTTGTGGTTGTGGTGGTTTGTTCGGGAGCACGTGATTACAATCACGGACCACCTACTTAGTCTACTCGTGTACGAGTACTTTACGATAGTTTACTCGAGTACTTAACGCGTGCTCTGACATGATCTACGAGTGTGCATGCGGTGCGGTGCGATTGATGAGCTGGGCACAGTATTCTACTAGGAGAGGGAATGCGTGATACCGGTAGGTTAATTGAGGAAGCCACGAGAAGACAGAATTATCGTCTTTTTTTAAAACAATTCACTAGACCACCAGTAGTCTAGCTGGCCACCTCCACACACTTCAGGAGGTATATAGAGGAAACTTTTCTTTGTTCGACATTGACTAGTACGTGAGTAGCAGCAGTGCACACGCGAGAGAGTGTGAGGTTGGAGAGGCAGAGATAGAGACGCATGGGGATAGCAGAGCGGATAGCGTGTGTTGGTGCGATAAAAGGAAAGGTACCCAGGCATTGGAAGAACATGGATAGTTAAAGTACTAAGCAGGAAAGAGGAAATTAAATAAGGTTGTCGTAGGCGCGGGAAACAAAGAGAAGGTGAGAACACTGAAGTATGACAAAGGAGAAATATTGAATCGACGGTAGGAAGGCGAACTACTGGTGCACTCGAAAAGACGTTGCCCCACACTTTAACAACACATTCTCCAGATGAAAAAGAAAAAAAAAACCGCTACAAAATGTCCCTTGTTCGGGGAGCACCTGCAGAAAAACCTGCTGATACCACCCCATCCTACCGCCTAATCAACCCCTTCCCCGTAAAGCCAGCACAGATGTACCAGACCACCCACAGTCTCACTCCGGGCAAAAGAAAGGATATCGCAATACACAAGTAAAACCAAATCGTTGAGCTGGGCTAAGAAGCTGAAAACCCCTACACATCTCCATTCGATTTCTCGTCCAACGGGGGCTGGCTGTGTTCACGGGTCATCCGGGCCTCGCTAATCGTGTGTCAGTTATGGGTTTGATGAAGATGGGGGACAAGGGGTAGGTTATGCATACATCTCTCTGAGCTGTGATTCACGGGCAAGAAGTTCTTGCCTTTTCTCGCTGATCTCTCGTTGAACCTTTGACTCAATTTCCCGGAGCTTCTCCTCCTCACGTTTGAGCTGCTCCTCCTTGAGTCGGACTGATTGAGAGGCGAGATCCTCGGGGTTCATAGAGCTATGGAATGGATGTATTTGTTAGTGTTGCGCGGGCCATATAGGAGGTGCAGGGAACATACGCAGTAGCACCACCTTCAACAGACTTGGAAAGTTTCTCTGTTCGGTAATTCTCATACAAGAAGTCATGAGTAATTTCCTTCAAATCCGCCAGGTGAGAGTGCAACAACGCAGACCTAATAGCAAGGAAGTCGGAGTGTCTTGGGTTATCAACTAAATGGGTTGGTAGTGGTTAGCTTTGCGCTCCCCACATTCGATCTACAATTCCGCAAGGACAATACAAACCCTCAACGACACCCCATGGATATTGCCTGGCACGAACTTTGCGTCCGTTAACCTCAACAACTTCCTCGCTTCCAACAATCGCAAAGGGCATCAATCCGCGGAGCTCAGCATTTTCCTCAACGGTATCCTCATCATCCTCCTCAATATCGTAGGGGAAGTTATAGACAGGGATGCGGTAATGCTCGATATCCTCCATGACGAGCTTCTTGGACTCAGCCAATTCTGCGGGTGTCAAAGAATCGGCCTTGCCGATAACAGGAATGACATTTACACGAGGGGAAAGGCGCTTCATCAATTCTATGTCCAATTCACGTAGGCTGAGGTGGCTGTTAGTCAATAGTTGCATTCAGTGACCAATCGAAAATACTCACCCGTGACCAGTAGGGGTGATAAAGTAAAGGAGAGCATGGACACGATTGTCACGGAATCGGGGGTTACGCTTGATACGAGACTCCTCGGCAAGAATGTCATCGTACTGACGTTCTAGGTATCCAGAAATTTCACCGAAACTGCCGCGCAAACGTGTTAGTACTTCTCACGATGAAATAATTGAACCTTGTAATTACGGCCTAAAACTCACCTTGCCTCGTTATCAATCTGGTCGCCAAAACCAGGGGTATCAACGATAGTAAGGGATATGCGCGTCCCCTCCTCATCAAGCTCTACAATTGAGATGTCAGTAAGAGACTATTTACGCGAGTGCAATTGACCAATTTCTCCTGAAAACACGTACCGACTGTGACTGGCTTGATTCGGACGCCTTCCTCAACATGTGCATTGGCCGAATCGTCTGAGTCTTTGCTCAGCAGTACTTTTTTGCCGCAAAGGGTGTTGACGAAGGTAGTACGACCTAAAGATTACCGGATAATACAAATTAGCGTCAGGAACCTAGCGATATATAGATGACAGGGGAATGCTTATAACCTACCAGTGCCAGAGGCACCGCACACCATCAGGCGGGTACGGACGCCGAATTTTAAGAAATGTTGTCCACAATGTTAAG